TCACATTCGAGATCTCGAGAAAACTTAACTCTTGCTTTAAATAATCGGACTCCATTTCTTCGAGAAGCTCTACACGAATTTTCTCTTAAAATTCATCCTGAAAATCGTAGAACAATATGGCATTTTGAACAACTTTACCAGAGTTTTTTCACATTTTTCCATTTTACAAGTAAAATGTATAGAGGAAATACTACAAATTTCTATTTCAAGTCAGTTTTTTGTAGTTATTTATAGAATTTCTTCCGCTAGGATTGTAGCGCTTTTGCACCTTTCTAACCTAAAAACTGTCAGTTCGCGGAAACATTTGTGTAATATACAAATTAAATGGCTTACGTGTACAGATCGAAAGCAGTTTGCTATTCCGGTCAAATGAAAGAACAATATGGCATCACTGAAACTAAGTTTGTAAGTCAAATAAAAAATAATAGTGAGCAACACACATACTACATGTACTGTATGTATGTGTTGCTCACTATTATTTTTTATCAGACTTACAAACTTAGTTTCAGTGATGTCATATTGTTCTTTAATTTAGCCGGAATAGCAAGCTGCTTTCGATCATCTGTACACGTGCCATTTAATTTGTGTATTACACAAATCTTTCCACGAAACAGACAGTTTTAAGTGCAAAAGGTGCGAAAGTGCAGAATCACTCCAGCATGATCCCCAATTAAGACTTTTAAATCAATACCCCTCTCATTTGCAGATTACTTCAAACCATAACGATCAACAAGAAGTGCAACAGTCACTTGGATTGCGAGGACGGCACCGACGAAGAGGACTGTACTTGCAGAGATTACCTGTCGAATTTCCAACCCATGGCGATTTGCGACGGACATTTGGATTGCGACGACGAAACGGACGAGAAAGATTGCGGTATTCGATCGCGCGTAATTTCGCCGTTGATTTCGCCTGTGTAACGAAACGATCGTTTCAGGTGTATGCAATGACGACGAGTTTCACTGCAGCAGAAGCGGGAAATGCGTCCCGATGACGAAGAAATGCGACGAAAATTACGATTGCCCTGGAAGAGAAGACGAAGTTGATTGCTGTGAGTATACGATTCGTGTTCGCGAGAGAAAAACACTAAGTGACATCGTCATTTCCCTTTTTTTTTTCCAGTTGCATTGACCAACGGAGAGTACGTGAACGTGGACAGCGACAATCGGCCGGTCCTGAACGCAGAAGGTTTGCTTAGTAAATACTACAACGGAACGTGGTATATACCATGTCCTCTACCAGACAGAGTAATGAATATAACCGTAGCGTCGATACTTGGAGAGGACTTGTGCCAATATCTCGGATTCACGTACGTTTGACTCTCAAATCTTCAACGATCCGGGACGGATCTAACATTTATTTACGTGTAACTTTCGATACAACACTTATTGCCGTTCAATAGAATTTTAATTAAAAAAAAAAGAAAACATTAACTGCGAGATATTAATTGTGTTTACGCGTGCGTATTAATTGCACGCAGGAGTTTGCAGTCGCTGGATACGATAGTCGTGAACAAAACGGTGCTGGAAACAAGGTGGCACAACACATCGGCGAGTTACGAATCCTCGCAACCAAGGCATACCGCGGCGAGTGAGAGAGGCGAGAGGTGCACGGCACTGCGGTTTCACTGCCGACCGGTTTTAGGCAGCAGCGCCGACTCGTACCTGGTCGTCGAGCCGAGAACCGACAGCCGTACCTACCTGTGGCCGTGGCTGGCCGCCATCTTCGTCGACGGCAGTTACCGTTGCTCGGCCTTACTCCTGGAATCGGACTGGCTCCTGTCTAGTTCGAGTTGCACGGCGGCTATCAGGTGAGCGAGTCTGGCTCTCCGGGATTCCTTGTCTCCAAAGTACGATCTGCATCTGTTGAACGCACTCTGGGGGAAAAAAAGACACTTAGCAACCCATTTTGGAGCCCACAATTAGTAATCGAATTATTTGAATTGTTCGTAACTCTGGGAAAAATTTTGACCGGTTTAATTTTGTAGTTAAGCAACTTAACATTTCGGTTAGTGCCACTTAAGTGACAATTATCTTTGCGTTACTGAATATCGACAGGACCAATTGAGAGAATTGATTACTTAAAAATCTTGAATATAGATAGAATAGCTAATTGCGATTTTTAGTAAAATTTGTAAAAGAATAGAGTTACGAGCAATCCAGATAATTCGATTACTAATTGCGGGCCCCAAAATGGGTAGCTGTCTCTTGTTCCCAGAGCGGACTTTGTGAAATTTAACGAACCGTTTGGTTGTCCCTTCACGGCCTTACGTCGTCCTCCATCGGAATCCCGTCAATCAAATATCGACGAGGACATGCGTAACGAGGAATAAATTGCAGATTATCGGTAAACTACACGACAGCCCTGCTCGGGCAGAGTCGCTCGTTCCTCCACGTGGACGGACCCCATCAACAGGTATCAGTTATTAACGAGATCAGGAACGTGGCGACAACGGACGTCTCGTTGCTTCACCTGAGAACTGCGGTGAACTTCACTCGTTACGTGCAGCCATTGTTCCTGGAGAAGAAGTGCGTACATTGATTATTCGCCCGTGATCGCATACACGTTATCTCCTTTTCACACGGCTATCTGTCGCAGAATATATCCACCGGCGAGAGACGATATATGCGTGGCGATTGGTACAGACAACGAACACCTGACACAATCGATCTTCCTCCAACCGATCCTTGAGAATTGCGACAGGTGCTACCGCTGCTACGTCGAGACTTCAGGTATCAAATGCCCGGTGAGTAGATAATCGGACTGCGATCATCTTCGTCCATCCCTGAATCACGCGAAAGTGCGTATCGGGACGACTTCATCTTTTTGTATCGTTGGCACTCAGGACAATGGAACATTCTCAAAATGGAGCGGGACGGTGTTTTGTCGCAGCGAGAAGGGATGGTACCCAGCGGCCGTGTTTCACGAGAACGACGGCCCGTGCAGCTTCCAAAGCGCGCGAAACTTGACGAGCATTGATTATATCCACGCCTATCTCACGCAAGCTTTAGGTAAGCATAAATGAAAACATCGATTCTTGCGCTGTTATTTTTTAATCGTCTGCGCGGAGAGAATTTTCCCTCAAAATCCGGCAAATCATGTAATCGTGGGACTACAGCCCGGATAGCACACATAGTTCTATGAATATTCTTCTGGAGTGCAAATATTCTTAATTTGAGAATATTTCAATCGATTATTCGATAAATACATATAGATTATTGCAATTAGAAACCGTATATTCGTAACAAAGAAGAACGTTTTTGGAATATTCGTCGAGAATGTCTTTGGAATATCCTATCTCATAATAGGGGACTTTCCGGTATTTAAAAATAAAACAATGAAATCTAGCGTGATTTAATTTTTCTATCCGGTGCCGCAGAGAAAGTGCCACAACCAACAGCTGAACCCGCGTGCGATGGCGTTCGATGCAAAATCGGGCAATGCATCCCTCGGGATCGAGTATGCGACGGAGTGGCGGATTGCCGAGACGGTGCGGACGAGAACAGTGAAATGTGTCTACAAGTGCAACTGGCGAGAAAGCAAAACGGAACTAATCGCAGTAAGTGACTTTGACGGATAATTTATCGGATTAATTTAAAATCTGAATTAAAGTTCAATAGAATTATTACGATTAGTCACAGATCCATTAGATTTACTTTCAAATAATTTTTTAGATTAATTCTTGCTCGTTGCACAAGTTCTCCATATGTTTTTAATCCTTTTTTCCGTGCAGTATGCATAAAGTCAGAATTACGGTGCAATAATGGCGAGTGTATCTCGAAGAGCGCATTTTGCGACGGCAAAGTGGATTGCTTGGATGGAACGGACGAACCTCTGATATGCAGCTGCGCGGAATATTTAAGACTGACTAAACCGGAACGACTGTGCGACGGGGTGCGACACTGCCTCGATAAAACCGACGAGTCGCCAGAAGCGTGTCAGTGCACCGAAACCAGCTTCAAATGCAACACGTAAGATAACTGGGTTCAAACGTGCAACACGTTGACGAATCCTGACAACATAAAACATTTTTTGTGTCTCGAACACTCTAATGTCCGCAACTTATCCTGGTATTATTATATTTTGTGCCATAAAAGCTAGTAAAAAGATTTACCAGCGAAAAACTACATATATTCGAATGTGTCGGTAAAAGCGATGACTTTAGGATCCTCTTAAAATTTAGAATGGACCTTTTGGGACATGTGAAAAATGTTAACATAAACATTTTAGTTTTTACTGTGTAGCTACGGCAGCTACATTTTTCTTTCCGTGTATGAATCCTTCAACACAAATTTTAGTGGCACTTTCAGCGATAAAAGGAGGATTCAGAATATGCTGATGCTTTAAGGAGCATTGTTAAATAAATGACAAATCTTGTAAAAGTTATTACAAACGGTTATTATACATAAACGTACGTTTTGCGCAGAGAAAGCAAAAATGTTACCTGTATCTCGCAAGATTTTGTGTGCGATGGCGACAACGATTGTCCGAACGGAGAGGATGAAACAAAGTGCAGGCAGGTGCTAAATGCCGCAAATAACAGGTGAGAACCTAATTAAAACGCCATGACTGTTGTATATCACAGGTGACATAATTAATTGTTGATGAAATAATGCTAATGCGTTTCCGTAACTACAAAATTGCTTCCCAGCTCTGCTCAGGGCGAAGTGATGCAACGATCCTACGGCGTATGGCACACTCTGTGTTATCCATCACTAACACAGAAGGAGGCAGCAAACGTGTGCCGAGAGAACGGCTACACGGACGGAATTATCGATTACGACCATGACTACCAATTTCGTAAAGGTTCACTTGTTCCATCTCGCGACAATTTCTACATGGTACGAATAAATGTGAACACGTGGATAACCATGTGTGACGATAAACCGATAACTTTCAACCAACCGGAGAAGCCCTGCTACCGTCTCTTTGTCAAATGCAGTTAGCAAAATGTACCGTCTACAAATTTTAAAGCAATCACGCTGTAATATTTTTCACCTTTGCATCTTGTTCATCGTATGACAATCGAACGTAAAAAAAAATCGTTTTATCTTGAAAGTTAACGTGGAAGAGCAGGCATACGAAGTACATTAAGTTTTATATATCGTTAAGAGATTAATTTATTTAGTTGTAGTACAAAAATTATAATGCGCGAACGAAACGAATCCATTACGTTAGAAGTCGAATAAATAAGTTCGTTATTCTTCGTTTATATCTTTCGATAGAACATGAAATATATCTACATAAAAGAGAGAGATGTTCCCTGCAATTTGTAGTTTCATTGTTGCAATTGTTGTCTAACAATATAATACGAAATCGCTTATAAAACTTAACACTTCCTGCAAATGTACTTTATATCGACGCATTAGTGAACAAAGCAGATATGTCAAATGAAACGTACATCCTCAGGGTTTGTTATCTGGCAGACAGAGGAATCAGATAACCGTGTAATGAAATTTCTACGTTCGAGAAATATGATAACGTTGGTCGAATTTTCTAATGCCGCGATACGTGATCGCCTCGAGCACGTACACGTGCGTCACGTAAGAGACAGCACGAGTTAGTCACTCCGGGAATGTGAATGAATACCGTTTTCCGATCGTTTTCACGGCATTCGAAGGCAACTTGCCAGGAGGAGCCAGGGGCGCAGTCGTTTGCCTTCAACGGCAGCGACCCCATTCGCTACATTCCTTCTGCCCCTTCTTCTTCCTCCTCGGCCAGCGTTCGAGTCGACTCCTCGTCCGTCCGTCCGTCTTCCATCGTTCCGGCAGCTTTGCATGCTGGCTCCGTTTGACGGAGCCCACCTGAGGCGAACTGAAACCTAATTAACTATGCGATCGATTTAACTTCCTCGAATTACTACTAGTTGCATAAGTGACTCTTATGTTTATATCGAACACGATGCATAAGGAAGTATTTTGTATAAAAGAAAAATATTACGTTTAATGGAAATATATTACAGAGAAGAAGAAAGAGAGAGAGAATGGAGACATAAGGTTTTAAAAAGTAAATAGGGAAATTTAGAAAATAACGACTCTCGATATTGAAATAATTATTGCAGAGTAGAAAAGGATATTGACAGTGCCATATGAATCTTAGTGCGTATAAAAATAACAATCTTTGATCAAAATTATGGATACAGAAATTAATTGAACGTTTCGGTTTCAATTCGAATCGTCTTCAGCAATGTCAAATTAATATGTTCTCACGTTGCACCATAGAGTTACGGAACAAAGTAACCGGTGAGACAACACATCTAGATGGAGGGACCGTGTTAAGTTTGACTAAAAAAATATTCGTAGTCTGCACTGAGAAAAAAAATTGTTAACATTACTAAATATGTTTTTAGTTAACAGCATTTCTTTAATTAAAATATATATGTTTTTCCATTAAACATACATAATTTATTCAAATATATGTATTTTTTAATTAACAAATGTTTACGTGAATTAACAAATATTCGTTTGACAGCCTGTAACTGCAGCATATAGTAGAATCAAGAAATATTTTCTTGTCTCGACAGTTTGTCAAGCAATGATAATATGCAGGTATTGTGAAAAGAAGGAATAAAATCAACTCGTCAAAGAAGCACAGGAGTAAGATCCCACATAGAACTACAACCTCTAATAAATATCCATTAGACGTTTGTCACGGAGATTTGGAATTTCCGGTAAACGTCAATTAGACATCGGCCACTAAAGATCCAGAGTTCTGCATTGCGTACGTCCATTTCACTTCCATTAGACGTCTTTAAAGGTATCCATTAGGCGTTACGTGGATTATTAATAGAGGTTCCATGGAACCTCGACTAATCGACGTTACGTGGATCATTAATAGAGGGTTCGCGAACCACGATGGACGATTAATATTGTTTGGAAGTTGCAAAATGTTTCTGCAACGTTGAAACGTCCGGCCTCAGAAATATTATAATTTAACGTTACAATAACATTATGGAAATTGCAAAATATGGATTTTCATTGGACATTAAATATAAAGCATAAAACTTCGATAATTATTATTTTGCAATATTTATATATATATTCCATGGCCAATATTGGAATAATTTTTCATTGAACTATTCTAAAATATTGACACAATGACAATGAAACGAGGTCACTTGACAGAGATTTTCAAATATATCTCAGCAAAGTTTCAATGCATTTTCAGCAAAATATTCCCACGAGGGTAATCACTAGTAATCGTTACAGATGGCAAATAACAACGAAATACGAAGATTTTGTCTGAACATCTTGGCTTTCAGGCTTTCGCGGCTGTTGTCTTCTTTAGTCTTCATGGCTTCCGGATGGTTGCCGCGATGGAAGCCATGAAGACTAATTTTGTCTGAACAGTTGACGGTAGCACGAGTTTTTCAGTGAATTTCATACAACGGAACTGGAAAATATAAGACTGTAATTTTCTTCTAGTTGATTTACCCATACTTTTTTATCTACTTGCATTTGCATAGCATTCTTCTCGATTGCTATACTTTACCTGCCGTTTTTTACCTTGAAAGCTCACCGCCCGATCGCAGGTACGTTGAACGGCATCGGTAGATTCCCTAACAACAACCACGCGGAAACTCCTTTCCCGGTTCTTTCGAGCGAAAACGAGGGGAATATGAAAATAATGGCTATTTTTCCTCCGCGTGCGTCCATCTACCGCATCCTCTCGCGATGCATTAAACTGCACGTTTTTCTTTCGTATGTGCCCACTTGTGATCTATTGCCACGTATATTTCTTATTTCATAAACATGCCGTAAAATCCTATCTTATGTTACTTTACGCGTTCCCTCTCTCAATGTCAAGCTGAAAATTAAATAATACATTTCCGACGTTGCAGAAAGTTACGCATGACAAACCGCTCGATCGTACCGATACGCGTACTTTCGATGAACTTTCCATGTACTTTCCGACATGTGCAGATTCACGCTCTAATTAATATCTAATCGTCTAATTAATTTAATTTAGTCGTTAAACAAAACGACCGCGCGCCTCTCGCGCGCGGGTTTCATATTTGCGTTACCCACTTTGAGAATCAGAATAAATTTATCCCTTGGAACGTACAGCGCCGCATTTCCAGATTATCCAAGATTTGCTGTTCGAGGAATACGAGGGGAATTATGTTGTTTCAATGTAACCGGCGGGTAAACTGAGTTTCTAGCGCAACTCGCGAGCATTATTTAACGCGGTTAAATACCTTTAAGTCATTCACATCGCTTATTAACTCACGCAACCAAGCACGCGAGGCACGTACTTTTTACACGCCGGATGCTGTGCCTTATCGATTGCTCCATACTAACCGGCAGCTCGCGGCGGAATGTCGGCGCGATCATGAATATATGTATAACCGCTCGGTGATCGCGATAAATTCGCTGCATTTATGATGCGGCCACGTGAGAAGGCAAAGGCGAGATTACATCTCTTTTCTACAAACCAACCATCTGTAAATTGATTCAGGGCTCGCGTTTTCAGCAATTCTCGCCGTCAGAGTTTAGCTTTTCCTGCCCCCGCGTATTGACCCCGATCCTCCCGTTCCTTTTTAATTACAAGCGGCTGCAAAGCGCGGCTGACAATGAGCGAGCCGTTGCCGACGAGACATTGATTATGTAATCAACACGGGGTACACCACGTGTAATTTCATTCCGCGGAGTACCGTTGGCCGCTTCCACCGCCTAAGGTTCTCCGTTCCCCGCGCTACTGTGTGCGCGCCTCTGCACGTTCACGCGAAACGCGCGAATCGCGCGCGAGTGTACGAGCGTTATAATGCAACGCAAAAGGCGAAGCCGGATTCAGGCTAGATCGCGGCCAATCTTGAAAACCGAATGGCGAGTTCTCCGCACGTGTCAGAAGCGCCTCTCGCGTCTACGGTACGCCGGCAGAGGAATTCAGGAAGGAAAGGCTCTGAGAAACGCATTCCACGTGGAAATATACTTAACGCGCGAGACACTTGTGATTCATTCGACATTTTACATAACTTTAAGCTCAACGGCGGGGCTCGCCCAATTAAAGACGGAGCACGTTTCGCCGGTTCGCAACTCTGGGAAAAAGGAGACAGTTAGCAACCCAGCTTGGGGCCCACAATTAGTAATCGAATTATTTGGATTGGTCGTAACTCTGGGGAAAAACTTTGACCGGTTTTTTGTAGTTAAGCAACTTAACATTTCGGTTAACGCCACTTAAGTGAAAATTATCTTTGCGTTACCGAATATCGACAGAGCTAATTGAGAGAATTGATTACTTAAAAATCTTGGATATAGATAGACTAGCTAATTGCGATTTTGAGTAAAATTTGTAAAAGTTTAGAGTTACGAACAATCGAAATAATTGGATTACTAATTGTGGGCCCCAAAATGGGTATAGCTAACTGCCTTCTTTTTCCCCAGGGGACTTTTATGCAATTGTTAACATTTACATTTATTCCGCCGCGCCACGAGGATGCAGACGAAGTGGCCGCGATGCGCGCAAGTTGAGAGTACCTGAACTAATGATCGTTTCGGTGTGAATTACCCGCGGCCCGTCTCGCGCGCTGAACCGGACCCGACGCGGCCAGGACGAGGCGGGCTGGAGAAAGGACGTCGGAGCGAGACGCGAGCGTGGAGAAATCTCTCGCCGAGCGGGCGCGAGAGAGACGAGCAGAGAAAGCGGTCAACGTTCAGGAATGTGTATAAAGCCCTCATTACGTATTACCCGCGTTACGTCGCTCGTATCCTTGAAGAGCCCGCTCTATCCCGCTTGGCACACCGAGCCATTGTACCTGCGCCACGACATGAATCATCCCGAGATCATCGAGCAAGTTCCTCGTCGAGAAGCATTGATCCTCGAGTAATTTATCAGGCGATGACGACCTTACGCGCGATGCAAGGCGAGGAATAATTCCCGTGTAATTACGCGCGCCGTTGAAACACGCGGTGAAACATCGATGCGGCAGGACTTAAAAATAAGCCATGCTGCATTGAGCGATTATATGGGATATCTCAGATTAAAATAATGATTACGTTACCAATTACTATTCACTTCCGCTAATTGTCACTTCGGCGTCATTAATGAGGTTTAAACACTGGCGAACGATTGAAACATGCAAATCCAGGCGTGTGAAGTGGAAACCTTCAACCGCGTTATCATCTTAAACGCTATAACTGTAGTTTCCATGGAAGTCGATAAAACAGTCGTTAATGGTGAGATACTGGGAAATAGTAATCAGCCATACGAGCCTTATCGCTGGATTACTAATCGTGCGATTGTTAGTGTCAACAATGGTTAACGGAACAC